GGTGATTTCATAGATGCAGTCGTTGTTTTTAGGTTCAGATTTTAACTCTGAAAAATACCTTTGTAATAAGACGACGCTTTTTTAATTTGGTGCGTCGTGGTTTAAAAATATCTATACGTGTACCGGTTTTTTAGGTGTGTAAAGTATGTTTCTACGACGAGTTTATATTACCGTCGTCTTTTAAAAAACAACGACGGTTTTTTGATCTACCGTCGTTGTTTATTGGTCGTCTGTTGCCCTTTTTGTAGTAGTGCCACCAAGCAAAACAACAAGATATTCATATTTAGTACTATATATAAACACCAAGATTAAAAGTGATATAGTCTAATCATTGGGGAAAAAGTTAGAGACCCTACTTCTTGTCTAAGAAGTTAAAATGACGAAATTAACCTTCAAAGGTTGTCAAGTTCTCTCCCGTTCCTAGATTTGAAAAATAAATAACATAAATGATGTTAGAAAATTTTATTTTATAAAAACACTTTTTCTCTTGACATAGAGAGTGTACTCCACTCTCCAAGCTAAAACCCTCGAAACGACCCGAAACCTATACCATTGGACTCGGATCGAGAAATTGAGTGGGATGGACTAAAAATATAGCTTCGGAGGCTGTCGGAACAGCCGCGCCACTCACCGGAGTTTTTGATGAATTTGAATGATAGGTATGAAGTTTATAAGAGTTTTGGAAGCTTTAGGAACACCTTGGGGGTGATAGAATGGTTGAGAACAACTTAGAACCAAACTCTTCCAATTCAATTTCCCTAACACTCATGTGACTCAAATTACTCTTTAAGTGACTAAAAGCACACAACCACAAAGTTAAAACCAAAATTTTCGAAATTGATTCACCTTAGAGACTTTTTTTCTTCTCTTCCTCCTGTTATCCCTTCTCTTCCTCACCCAATCCATCTCCTTCATCCCACAATCTTATCTTAGTTTATGCAATTAATATCCTTAGCCTAGACTAGGTGATTCATCTCCAATAGGTGAACTCATCCCATTTGAGATCAAGATCAAATTTTTGAAGAGAATGTATAAGGGAATGGGGGAAGAATGAAGGGAAGAATAAGGTTTGGCTTACACGTTGCCTTTTTTTTTTTTAATAACAAAATTTAAACTCATAATTAAGGTTAAATAAATATATTTTATTATTATCTTTTTTTTCTTTCTTAGATGTTACATGTCAGACAACACAACGCACCGTAGGGCATGATGTTGTTGGTATCGCAATGCATCGTAGGGATGGTTCCTATATTGCCATGCGCCGTAAATGTGTGATACCAACAACATCACTCGTCATTGGAGCGGTACCGTTCATCAGGCTCTCATTGGTGAGACATTTGGTGTTGCACGGGTGATAATAACGTTGGTTCAGTTTGACAATTGGAGAGGTACCATTCGACAATTAGAGAGGTGTCGATTGTCAGTTGGGGAGGTGCCGCTAGCAATTAAGGAGCCTATGTTCGAAAATTGGAGGGGTACCGTTCAGCAATTAGGGAGGTGTCGCCCATCAATTGAGGAGGAGGTACCGTTACTACATTTGGAGAGGTGTCAATCGTTAATTGGGCAAGTGTCACCCAACAATTGAGGAGGTACCCTTCGACAATTGGAGATTTGCAGATCTTCAATTGGAGAGGTGCTGATTGTCAATTAAGGAGGTGTGTCGCCCAGTAATCGAGGAGGCACCGTTCGATAATTAGAGAAGTATAGTTCGGCAGTTGGAGAAATGTCGATCGTCAATTGGGGAGGTGTCACAATTTACTATTATGTTTCATTTCACTCTTTGTAATCATATATTTAATACCGAACTTATAATTCATTAGCCACTCAAGTTTTCGAACCCAAACCAACACAACCAAAACAAAAAAAAACATTCAAGTTTGATGTTACTTCTTTCATAAAATTTCTCAATTTTCATATGTATGAAGATTTCTCAACAATTGTTCAATATACAGAACACTTCATTCTTATAAAGAATATTTGTTTCGAGTCATGAAAAAGAGCATTGACTTGCATTCGAAACCCCACAGCATCAGTGTGTATGTGAGAGAAAACCCTCTTTCCTTCCTAACTTTGAAAAAAAAAATCAAGAATATTTGTTTATTTTCTAATAATAGAAAATAATATTATCAAACTAAAACTAAATCGGTCACCAAATAAATGGAATTGATTCACTTATGAACAAATTTAAACTATGATGTTACATTGATTACCAAACCGAACCTTCCTCATCCCTAGTACTGTATGACGAAAAGCGCACAATCATAATCAAAATCTTTCATGTTGTAATTTCCAAATCCTAAACCTTATTTTGAGAGAGCTACAATAATCCTCAAGGATGTTCTTGTAAATTATCTTCAAATCTCCTCACCTAATAAACAAAATTACAAAACTACCATACAACATGAAGCAAAATACAAATCTTATCCTCACAGCCTAAGAAGCAGCAGCAAAGCAAGAAGCCCAAGTAACCACTCGCGCACGTTAGCACCGCTTCTCATTCCTCCATTCCGGGGCGTCTGATCTCCGGGGATGGTCACAGGCGGCAACTGAGTCGAAGCACTCGGAGGCTCACTGTACGGCGGAGGCGGAGGTTGGTTGAGGATCGGCGGCAACCCGAGCCCTTTGTTGACTTGGATTGCGAAGGCCATGCCGCGCTGGCACTGCTCGCCGTCGCCTGCTCCGGAGAAGTAGTAGGCGGGACCCTCGAGGGTCAACGGTACCGCGATGGTCTGCGCCTCCCCGAACGCATTGCTGCCGCCCCTGTACTCGAACGCGTCGTCGTCCGGCGTGCAGCCACGGTATGTCGTTTCGTTGTAGGTTTCAATCACCGTCTGGTTTGTGCTTGTGTTGAAGACTACAATAAAAAATTAAAATTAATTAAATTAAAAATGTGATATGATATTACATTGAGGTTTGAGATTGTTAATTAGCTTACTGAGGTAATCGCCGAGATTGAAGGTCTGGGAGGCGGCCCAAGAGGAGTAATTGGCGAATGAAGAGTTGGTGGTGGCGTTGAAGAACCAGCCGGTGGGCCCACCGACGGTGTGGTTTGTGTATTGAGTGGCTGGAGGCGCAGCTGCTGCGGCAGCTGTGGCGGTGATGGCGATGAGAATAACAATGACCGTCAGATTCGCCATGACTGATCTGATGGCTCTTGTCTGGCCTCTCCGATCTGCTTTTGAAGGCTTTTTAAGCAGCTGGGCTAGCTGATGAGGTGGCTGTTTGTAATTTGCTGTGATTTTGTTGGCGTTTTTTAAAATTGAAGTCGTGTTTAGAGAGTGGACTCGATTTTATTATTATTAAAAGGAATTAGGTGGTGTACTCGTCGTTCGGGGTCACATGCAGCTGTGGAATGTGGAAGGAGAGTCGAGTGCTTCCCGGTTGTGGGCCATGTGAAGTGTGGGGTCCACAGGTGCCGACTGTTTTTTCTTCTATTGATTTTGCAGTGAAAATACGAGGTCGTTTTGGCAATTTTGTGTTTTTGTTTTAGCATTGTTAATTGTTGTAGGATTATATGTTGTGTTATGCAATATAAGTATGTGTTGATGCATTTTACATGTAATAAATTATGATTTCTCATTATTTTATTGAGGAAAAAATATTAAATAGAAAAAAGTATCGCAGACCCGGTATATCCCGATACACACCCGATCCGCTCATTGTCATCCCCATTTGAACCTTTTTAGGATGCTATGATAATTTCCACAGAATGCCCATTCCATCATTTGGTTTACAGACTGAAAATGATTGCATGACATTGTGAACTCTGCTTAAATAAACCCAATCCTAGACATGTATTTATAAAAAAACCCAATCCTAGACATGTATTTATAAAAAAACCTACGCACTATTTAAACATAGAAACACACCCAAAAGCAACCCCAAAATCAACAATTGTATATTTTTTGGGTGTGTTTATAAATGGGTCTTGTGTGTGTGTAATGATGGATTTTGGGTGTGTTTATAAAGTGTTTTGGATGTTGGGTTTTTTTATAATTTCAACCCCCATTTTGGGTGTTTTAGTAAAACTCCCTTGATTTTTCACATGAGGTGCTCAGTTTGGTTTTTTTACGAGTGTTAATAGGCCACACAACAATCATGAATGCTGCTAGTTTTTTTAGTATTATAATTTTGATTATCCTGATAATCCAGATGCATCCAAGACAAGAATTATTTAAGTCACAAACCTTGTCTCATGATTGGCTGAATTTTAACAATATTGTATTCTTTGCATACCTCATGTTTGCCACTAGAACCCAGGAGCCAAGTCTGAAGTTCAACAAAATATTCTCTTGCAGCATCAAGCATCTCTGCTGTTTGTATTACAGGTGTGATCTTAGAATTAACTATTCTTCTCGTTGAAATTGCAATTTCTTTTGTTGGAAAGTTTATTTGAACAAAATGGATTTCTGGGGCCAAACTCCTGGGACGGCTTGTGATTAGTCCAAGATTGAGCATCTGAATTCAGCAAGCTAAAATGACAAAAGAAAGGGTTCTCATAACGATTTTTGTAAGCATGTGTTGAAGTAAGGGTTCGTTTGGGATTGGTTCTGGATAGGCCAAAAAGCATTTCTATGGAGAATCACTTCTCCAAATAATCACTTCTAGTGGTTTTAAGTGATTTTATGGAGAAGCACATAAGAGGTGCTTATGCTCAGAATCACATAAAATCACTTAAAGTGATTATATGGAGAAGCACATGAGAGCTAATTCTCCCCAGAAGTGATTCTGGCCTATCAAGAATCACTCCCAAACGAGCCCTAAATCAGCATGAGTTTGTATTTTACAGTTACAGAAACATGTAATGTTGTAGCCAAAATTGATAAACATGATGACAAAGAACCTCCCAACTGTATATTCTCATGTTCTCACCACAACGGTATGACCAAAGCACTATTTAACCTATCTATATGTTTATACATATATCTGTTTATGCCAAGCATGCAAGCCAGCCCTATAGAAGTGATTTATATTCTAGCTTCAAAGGGATAGACAAGATCATATCAGCTTAACAACATGGCACGAGCCACCAATCTTCTTGTGATTGCGCTTATCGTTTTTCCTAGCATGGTTTTGGCAACAGAGTATGTTGTTGGAGATGATGAAGGCTGGAATTCTGGAGTCGATTACTATGCTTGGCTTGATGGCAAAACTTTCTATGTTGGAGATGTGTTAGGTAATTAACTGATTACTTAGTGTGCAGATGCAACAAATTGCTGCCTTCTCTTTGCGGCATTCAACTAGAAACATAATCATCATAAAAATCCTTGGTTGCTGTACGAACTTCTTTTCTGCATTGATTGATCATCATTTTTTTCTTTTCTTGAAACTTAAATTTTTACCTTGGTTTGGTTCTGTTCTTACTAACTGAGCATTTTGCTCTTCTCTTTCTTTGTGGAAAGTATAGCTATAATAATTGACATATTGGTTTTTCGGTTTCCCAGTTTTCAATTACAATGCAGGTGACCACAATGTGATTGTAGTTGATGCTAACGGGTATGATCAATGCAGTGCATCTCCAAACTGGGGTTCTTATGACAGCGGCAACGACGTGATAACATTGAGCTCTACCGGGGACAACTATTACATATGTCAATGGCACTGCGATTACACTGACCAGAAGCTTAAGGTCACTGTCTTACAAAACTAGATGTCCCTCATCCTCATGTATGCCTGCCTGTGTCTTCACCCACATTAGCACCACCCTGAGAAAAGCTTGGTTGAGAATCTTGAGATTTAAGGTGATTTGGAAAGTCCAAAGGGAAGGCAGAGGTTTAGATTTGGTTGCTATATGAGTGTTGCGTGATTAAATAAGTTCTATGTTGGACTGACCACACCTTATTGGCTGAGGTCGCTTATAGTGTTTTATGTTTTTTTGCTCTTTTCTTTGCTCTTTTCTTGTCAATGAAGTAAAGATAGCATGATTCTCTTCTCTCTTTACTCATGTCGCATGTATTTTCTTTTAATCCAAAGTGATATTACCAACGGGGAATCGGACACGCGACCTCGTTTTTAATCCAAAGTGATATTACCAAAGGGGAATCAGACACGCGATCTCGAAAATGATACATGCATCTTAATCACTTGAGCAACAAGTGCTTTATCATGTTGCATATAGTCTAGAATGTGGCTTGACAACTCACATTCTGTTCCGCATTGCACCCATAAATTGGTCAGGTTATGACAAGATTTTCAAGTAGGATGCCTTTAACGGTTGTAATTTGTATCTGAATAAAATGGCTCTCTTGGACCAAACGAAGCTTTAATCAGGTTCCAAATTAAATTCCTTTGAGTTAAAATTTATTTATTTATTTTATGATTACAAGAACCTCCAACTGTATATTTTCATCACAACGGTGTGACCAAAGCACCATTTAACCTATATACGTATGTGCTTGTTATGCTAAGCATACTTACCATCCTATTATAATTAGGATTATGAGGCTGACAATGTATAATACAAGCGATCAATTCAAATGGACAATACAGAATTAATTTGCTTAACATGGCACGAGCCATCGCTCTTCTTCTGATTGCATTCGCCATTTTCCCGATCACCGCGTTGGCAAAAGAATACATTGTTGGAGTTGCAGATGGCTGGAATTCTGAAGTTGATTACTATGCTTGGCTTGATGGCAAGACTTTCTATGTTGGAGATGTATTAGGTGATTATTACTACTTAGCAGACAACTGCCTTTTCTTTGCTACATTCATCATGTTGCTCTTCAAATTCTCATAGATTTGGTCATTTGTAATTTATTTTGATCAAATTTATCGAACATACAACTAAACACACATATTCTTCTTGCATTTTTTTTTACCCAACAACCAAACATCCCATTTAAATATATAAAACAATAACACGTGTAAGAATATCATTAATTTGTTTCTTTATTGATGTTTGTTTGTGGGATTAACAAACGTAGTTCACTTCTTGGTTTTATTATGTTTCCCATAGTTTTCAATTACCACAGAGATGAACACAATGTTTTAGAAGTAAATTCCACTGGGTATGATCAATGTGTTGCATCTCCAAACAAGGGTGCCCATGACAGTGGAAATGACAAAAAAACCTTCAAGACTCATGGGAACAAATATTACATATGTGAATGGCACTGCAACTACTCTGGCCAGAAGCTTAAGGTCCCTGTCTTGTCAAAGAAGTTGTGAATCATATGCCTGTAATGTCTCCCTCCCATCCACATCACCCTGTGGGCAAAAAAGTCTATTCAGAAAACTTGGTTCAAATTTTGGGCAGGAGATGGTTCAATTCCATGGGCCATTGAAATAATTCCTATGTCTGTCAAATTAGCATATAAGCTGAGGTTTATATTTATTGTACCTTATCCCTTCTTGTTTTATTTACATTGTTAATCACATCTCTCTCATATGCCGGGTTCATTTATATGGGCTCTTTCTATAATAGGGCTACATTGTTTGATTTGCAATGTATAATTTGTTAATATCCTATGCCAAAATATATATCGACCACAATACAAATACTTGATTAGAAGTCGCCAACTTCCATTGCAAAAAACCTAGAATTGTAATGATAAAAGCTTCTATAAGAAATAGACTATAGTAATGATGGCTTGGCCTCTCTTTAGTAATTATTGTGTGGTAAAACTTACATAAAACACAGTGATGAGACATATGTGCCTATGACATTCATGACGCTTTAAGATAATTGTTTTGATAACACTCATCACGTGACTTGTCATTTCGAGATATGTAGGTTTTTCTCTTTAGTCGAGACTTAAAACCGCCGAATTGTGTAAAACATACTTGAATCAGAGCAATGAGACAACTAAGCCTACAACCCTCATCATGTGACTTGTGCACTATGAGGTATGTAAATTTATCTCCACATACGATCAGAGCTTGGATTGGAGGATTTGTGTAGGATCTCCAAGCTTTATGCTATACTGGGTAAGTGAGTTGATTGTTTGGTACGCCCTTCCCATTCTTCTTCCTCTCTCTAACCCTAAAAATCAAACCAAATAAAGAAGGCTACCACGGGGCAGCGCACATCTATTCCTTCAAGTAAAAATCTCCTACTCTTTATTGCTACAAATGAATTGTGAAAAAATATCTCATCCATTTGGCTTGTTTTTATTTTTTGATCGAAAAGATACTTCATTAAGCCAGAAGGCAAGGCACAAACAAGGATTCAACAAGAGAAGGAACGCACCTAAGCCAGAAACCAGCTTGGCTTGTTAGTTTCTGTTTGTTTTGTCGAAATCTCTTGGGTTGTTACTCACAACACAAAACCATAGTACCTCCTTTTATCCATGATGCAGCAGGCCCTAGGTGGATTGTAATGGAAGATGGGCTTCCATGGCAGCCGTAGGTTTTGTCTAGTTTATTTTTTTTATTTAAAAAATTTTCATTTTCAGGTGTGCCCTTTTTAATAATTTTAAACAATGATTAAATTGTTAAAAAAAAAAACTGTAAAAATTAATACGGGGTGGAAAAAATAGAAAATGGAAAAAACACACTCAAAACTTTTAAGGGCTTTTCACATATAGGCTCATTAAAAATTTACATTTTAGAAAAAAATCATTCAAGTTTAATACTTAAAAAATAACACAAAATGATGTAATTTTTTTTTTGGTTGAGTACAATCAATTGTCTAAACTAAAGGGGAGAGAGGTTTCTCGCATACACACATAATGAAGATGCCATTGGGGTCGAACATGAGATCTCTTGTTTACAAGTCAAGGTCATTTTCTACTCTTAGTACTTAAAGGTACAGGGTCTAACACAGTATAACAACACATTAAGAATCTATATATATAAAACAAAAAGCAGAGAATGATAAAATATTCAAAATACTAGAAAATGCCATTGGTTAATGCAAACATTAAGAATTGAAATTATTAATTAAATAAGGTTAATATGATAAATTCACACTTTTTCATATTAAAAAAAATTAAAATTAAAAGAAAAATAAAAAAGTGAATCATATTTTATGGAACACAACTACCTATTATCTGTTTTAATTCTAAAATAAATTTTTAATTTTTTTAAAAAGCCTCTCGCAAGCGCGAAAGCAGGTGCGGAGAAGCTAATAAATTATAAACTAACAAGTGTATAGTGAGGGTTTTTTTTTTCTTTTTTTTTTTTCCAATTGGACCCTTGCATCACATGGTGCTTGAACCTAAATTGTATTTGACATGGCACTAAAATGATTATTTCTTTTGATTGCATGCCACGTGTTATTTTTCATGCATATGCTTCACCAACAAAAAAAAAGTGGTGAACATTCTCCTCGGCTGTGAAATGGTGAAAAGGAACGGTATTAAAATTTAATTAAGGCTTTGTTAAAAAAATTAATTATGTCTAAAACCCATTAATCCCCTTATTTTTGTATGTCTTTTCCTTATACTTACGAAAAGATTCAATATTTTTCTTTCCATTCCTCATTTTTGCGATTTAAAAATATTTTCCTTACCGAGAAGGTGAAAGAAATTGGAAAAGCAAGCCCATTGGGTCATATTATTTTGATTTTTGACTGGGCAAGGCAACCAGACCTCCAGACCCACACACAAACTCTATTACCTGCGAAATCCACCATCTCTCTCGCGCCTAATTCGCCTTCTCTTTCTGAAACATCTCGCTCCTTTTCTCTGCAATTTTTTCCTTTTTCATTTTCTTTTCCATTTTTCTGGATTCTGTAATCGCTGCAACTTCATCGCCATTTTCCCGATCCTGTTTTCCAAGGTATTTAATTTAATTTCCTCCCTCGTTGACGCATTTTTTTTTTCTTTCTAAAATTTAATTTTAATTTTGATTTTAATCACTGCTTGTGTTGTGTTTTTCAATATCAATCAATTGCCATTTCATTCTGATCTGTGCATTTTCTTTAGCTACGACAAGCTGGTATACACTCACACACAAATAGGTCAGTAGTCTGATGAACACGATCGATCCGCAGCATTCATGTAAAACCCACAATGCGCAGCTAGATCGATCTCCATTTCAATAGTTGGGAATAAGTAAATGTATATGTATATGAATACGCATGCATGTATATGTGAGTGTTTTGGTTCCTTCCTTGGATAGATCCGTGAAATCCTTGTAGTTTCTTTACTTTTTTGATTTAAACCTTCAATTCTGTTCACTGCGTGAGTTAAAAGAGTAGTCTTTGCGAACGGCTTTTTTGGCTTCCGAAAAGTGCAGGGAAATAAGGACTTGGAAATTTGGAGTAAATAGTCAGTAGCTAATGTCTTGTGGACTACCATGAAATTGGGTTTACTTAAAGTGAACCCAACTTGGAGCACTAAGCAATCGACTGCTAGAAGAGTTCCAAATGGAGATTGTTTCTTCTATACAAGTTCCAGCTAGAGAAGACTATGTGGTGTGCGATGAGAGCTGTTTTGTTTTTTTTTTTTTGGAATGAATTTTGAAGCTAACATAGGAATTTTATGTTTTTTATGATCTTACCTGTGGAAGTGTTTTTCAATTTATTATAATATCCACAAATTTTATTCTTTTGTCTGGATATTGAATAATTTTGTTGAATTTACTGGTATCCCACTAAATTTTAGCTTGAAAGTTATTGACTGCCAATTATTAGCCTTATTTCCATATTGAATAATTGTTTCACAGGGTTGACTGGAATGATATGGATGCCTCATTTATTTCCATATTTTGTAGGTAACTCGGTGTATATATGAATAATTTATAGAGCTGTATTATAATGGAAGAAGAAGAGGAAAGGAAGAAGGAATTTGAAAAAAATTCCAGGAAGGATTCCGATAATCATGAAGTGGGTGGTGGTGTACAGGAAAATATTGATCTGTCTCATCAGGAAAATATTAAAAATACCGATGGTGATGTAGCTGACGTAGGACATGATAGCGTAACCTTGCAAGCGGTTGATTCTGCAACTACAGTTGTGGATGAAGACCAATTTGAGCAGGTTTCTTTGAAAGATCAAGATAAGATTGTTGGTGCGTCTCAAGGTGGTCATGTGGACTCAAATCAATCATCAAATTCAGATATCCCCAGAAATTCAGATACCACCAGACTATCATCTGGTCAGTTTGAAGATACCTCACAGACATTTACGGCAGAATTAAATTCTTCTGCAGTTGATGAAATGCAACATGATCAGTCTGCCTGGAGCCCAGGGCAGGACAGAAAATTTGGTCACAAGCCATCTATGTCGTCTACTAGTTTTGATTCTTCTTTTTATGGGGATGTAGGTTATTCTCCTGCTGGTTCACCCCCAAAACCAAGGCCAAAACCTGCAATGCCAAATGTATCTCCGGAGTTATTGCATTTAGTAGATTCTGCCATCATGGGGAAGCCTGAAAGTTTAGACAAATTAAAGAATATTGTTAGTGGTGTGGAGAGTTTTGGAAGTGGGGAGGAAATGGACGGCATTGCATACTTGGTAGTTGATTCACTTATTGCGACAATGGGTGGAGTTGAAAGTTTTGAAGAAGATGAGGATAACAATCCTCCTAGTGTGATGCTGAACTCTCGGGCTGCCATTGTTTCAGGTGCGCTTATTCCTTCGCTACCTTGGGTTGGTGATAGTGATGTTATTATGTCCCCTCGGACACGAATGGTCAGGGGGTTACTTGCAATATTAAGGGCTTGTACAAGAAACAGAGCAATGTGCTCAATGGCTGGTTTATTAGGAGTTCTTTTAAGGTCAGCGGAGAAGATATTTGTGCATGATGTTGATTCGCCGCTGCAAATGAGATGGGACGGGGCTCCGTTATGTTACTGCATTCAATACTTAGCTGGGCATTCACTTAGTGTTATCGATATGCACAGATGGTTTCAAGTCATTACCAGAACACTTACTACTGTCTGGTCAACCCGCTTAATGATTGCACTGGAGAAGGCAATGGGTGGAAAGGAGTCAAGAGGACCAGCCTGTACTTTTGAGTTTGATGGTGAAAGTTCAGGTTTGCTTGGGCCAGGGGAGAGCCGTTGGCCATTTACCAATGGGTATGCATTTGCAACATGGATTTACATTGAATCATTTGCAGATACATTAAATGCAGCAACCGCTGCTGCAGCAATTGCAGCAGCTGCTGCTGCCAAATCAGGAAAATCGTCTGCCATGTCAGCTGCTGCTGCTGCCAGTGCACTTGCTGGTGAAGGCACAGCACACATGCCACGGCTGTTCAGTTTCTTATCTGCTGACAATC